CCGAATGAAATCCTTTCAAAAAGGATATTCGAACTCTAACCAATCCCTGCAGGAATCAACGCAAAAGAAACCATATTACTTCTTCTATTATGATGAAAAGAAGAAGATTCACATACCACTTCCGGAACCCACACAAATCAAACCGAGGTATAGACATTCGGTTCGAGTAGACTGGAACCCGCCAACCGCAAAAGGACGAATTGGCCAAGGTAACACTTAAACACGCATGTTGGTACATGTGTGTGTGTGTGTGTGTGTTTGCGTACCATGTGTATGTGATTATGGGTGTGTGTGTTTATTAGTTTAAAAAGTCATGTTACTAATCCTCAAGGACCCAAAAGATCAAACGGGTACCAAAATGTTTTCATTGTAGGTGTCAAAGTCAGGGGGAACAAAAGAAATCGATTTCTAGTTCCAGAACTAAGTGTAAATCGATTTACAGGCTTGTGATAATCGACTATCACAGCCTGCAGAAGTTTAGAGCACAGAAGCTGAAGGAGTAAACAATCGATTATCAACATTAAGATAATCGATTATCTGAGCCTGCAGAAGTTTAAAGCAACTCAGGCGCAACCTCTAACAATCGATTTACCAAAACATGACAATCGACTATTGAAGACTGCAGGACCATCAGCGGAGAATCTGAGGCATCTGATAATCGATTTACAGGTCATGTTAATCGATTTACAACGGCGGATTTTCAAAAATCTGACCGTTGCAAAGACGTTGGAGAGCAGTTAATGCCTTGTTTGACCATCCCAACGGATCTCTACACCTCCTCCACTATATATTGGTGATATCTACTCCATTTTTACTCATTCCAATCATCTCTTCTCCATATATTCATCATAATTCATCATTCTTGTGTTAGAATAAGTGCCCTTCACTAGAGGGGGGGTGAATAGTGAGGCACGAGAATGTTTATAAATTTTCGCGGAATAAAAATCGTAGGGATAAAGTAAAGAGCGGAATAAAAAGGAGTAAAGGGAGCACACCAAGATTTACCCTGGTTCACCACAACTTGTGGCTAATCCAGCCTCCCGAGAGACTCTCTCGAGCTACACTACTTCCGTTAAGCTTACGGGTGCTTAACAAACCGTTACAACCTGAGAACTCGAGTCCCACGAGCCTCAA